TTATAAATGCGAAAGTAACTCTGTCTGTCTGTCTGTTTCTCTTTCACGCCTAAACCACTGAACCGATTTTGATGAAATTTGGCATAGGGATAGTTTGAGTCCCGGGAAAGGACATAGGATAGTTTTTATCCCGGTTTTTGAAACAGGGACGCGCGCGATCAAGTTTTTCTGTGACAGACCGAAAATTCACGCGGGCGAAGCCGCGGGCGAAAAGCTAGTACCTAATAAGAACAATTTTGAAATTTAAACCAGACTGAATTTTGAGATTTGATTTTCACCATATTTCCACAGCGCCAAAGCTAGTGTGAAGAGCACGATCATGTCCTTACGCGGTATCTAGTTACATTTATTTGAGTGCCTGTCTATGATGTAAGCACCAATTCGTATTTTCTAAATCTAAGCATTTTTGCCATTAGAATTCCGTCCACTGCTAGGTAAAAGCCTCCCTCAACCCACAACGGCCGGTCCTGCAGTGCTTCCCGCGACTTTCACCAGGTCATCTATCCATGGAGCCTTAGCATACTTATTCAGTATTAAAATAACACGATAACTTGTATGGGACGACTGTTTAGGTACGAGAATCTAACAATGATACGTAATCATATCACGCATTAAACACAGTATAGCGGCCAGCTTCATTCAGTATTTATTTACCCAACTTTATCGGAGCTGCCCATGGTGTTAAGCACCAACCAACAACATATTTCAGGGTAATGGCTCGCCAATATTTATGGCGACGGCTAATGTATGCTAAACACCATCGATATAAATATTAAGCCCATAATGTAAAAAAACCCTCAAAAGACCTTTTGTGGGGGGGATAAGTTGACAGATTGAATTAATAATGTTTATCTTTTACATGTATTGCAAAAGAAAAATAAAATGGGTAAACTGGGAAGCCATTATGGAATCATGCTTGTTCCCGTATGCAAATAATATTATGCATCTTGATGAAGACAGGTGAGCAATATCATTTTCAATGCTCAAGTAAAATATACACCATTCATCCTTATTTCGCTGGACGTGGTTGATTTGGCCATATTCAGCACGTAAATTGCAGCACGTGCTCGCTTAGAGCGCGTTTAAATAGCACGCTTTTAGTGGGATTTTAAATTGCAAACATTTTCAATCTGTTACCAGCTTTAGGTGTAGAGTTACAGCACTGGAACACAAGTAACCGCTAATAGACGTGGTTTAGGTGGTTATTAGATTACCAGTGAACGAAATATTTCAGATATTTTCCAATCAGACCATTATAACCCAATGTCTGCTGACACTATCTACAACGAATGTAAATATTCATTGGTTAGTGGTGCCAGTACTGTCAGTGCCGCACGTTAAGCCTATGTATACCTAATATATTCACATGCTTACTATGAGAGGCGTGCCGAAAAACGCAGCGTGGGACGTCCACCTACAAGGTGGACCAACGACATCGTAAAGCAGGGAAGCGCTGGACGCAGGCCGCTACCAATCGATCAACATGGAAAGCATTGGGGGAGGCCTATGTTCAGCAGTGGACGTCCTATGGCTGAGATGATGATGATGACTATGAGAGGCCTGAAAAGAATCGGTACCTTATTAACTGATGATTTTTAAATGAGTAATTATTTAAAATCAAGAAAGTAACGCCGACGTCACTGTCAAAATGCTTCCATTTTAACACAAGTGATGCATGCATAAATGTGATGCATTATGTCGAGTCATCGAGTGTTGTCGCATAGTTAGTGATAAAGCAGCTCACTGGATATCAACATCGAGCAAAAAAAAAAAAAATTTGAATTTGCTAAAATACATAACCTAACTGTCCTTAAGTCCAAATAAACCCTTAATTGATTAGGTTGTCCGTTTCGTCTCATTCCCCAGATCGCCAAACAAAATTGGGCATTCGTTCTTGCTGACATCTATCGTGGCCGGATTACGGACGGACTCGGCCGTTAATCGCCAGTTAGAATTAACTTCTCTCCGGTCCGGATTAAGGCGACGTCTGTTCTGTGGGAATGGCGACATTTTACTTTCTTACAGCGAACAAAATGGTGAACTGACGATCTGATTAAGGAGATAAGAGCATGGAATTTACCTGCGTAGTTCAGTTATTACATTTTTGTTAATTGTGTTCCGTATTTAATATTTATAATTAACAAAAGGCTGATGACGTTGACCAAGTTACTTCTTCTAATTTTCATCAATATTAGTTCAGTGATTTAGGGGTGAAAAGGTAGGCAGAGTTACTTTTTAACCGACTTCAACAAAAGGAGGAGGTTCTCAATTTAGTTGGTATGATTTTTTTAAATTTCATAGCATGGATTATCTCGTGATACTATAAACTATGTAACAGACGACAACACATCAGTTTACTTCTACATTTTTGTTACAAAATCGCTTCTACTCGTACGAGTATTACAACTAAATAAGATGTTTATCTTGATATTCCGTTGACTGTACATAATAATAATACCTATATCTATTGCTTTGGCAACGACCTAAAACATCCAAAACGTGTGATGTGCCCCCGGAGATAGATTTCGTCTCAACCAATCATCATTTTAAATGAACGTAGGCGAAAGAGATCGTAAAATATTTTTTAACAGCCAATCGGCCTAAGAAATTCTGTATTGCGGATACATACAGTCTGCTTCTAATTTTACAATTTGGTAGTAATCTGATATTGCTATATTTTTCTTTGCACGTGTCGTGAAAGCACTTTGGGAATAAAAACAGGGTTTTATGAAGGAAATTATGATAATACTAAGAGTATAAATAATATAATAAACAAATAACTTTATTGTGTCTTTAACAATGCTCATAGTATCTTCACGAAAAAATTACATTTAATAATAGGAGCTGTATTAAGATAGTGATCATTAACGTCTATACTAGTTACATTTAAACTGTGTGACAGACGCTAATTCTTCCACCAATTTAATTTAACAGTTGTAATTTAGTTGATAGTGCCAAACACAATTTTAATTAAGTACCTACTATAGCTTTGGTAAATAGGTGTGTGTGTGTGTGTGTGTGTGTGTGTCGTGTGTGTGTGTGTGTCGTGTGTGTGTGTGTATCTACAATATAAGTTAATTTAAGAGTAGAATCTTAGGTACCAATTTAGCCTCTACCTTCTATTGCCGGGCATTTGACATAAAAAAGGAATGACAATACACAACTCGGTCGAGTTAACTGCGCATCTGGCGGCCGTGACGTCACATCGACGCTTTGGTACTGTTATGACGGGATATTAAAATGTTTTTTTAAAAAACAATTAATTTTTATTAACTGNAGCTCTCTACAGATTCTTCGTATGACCTTGCAATGCGATTAACAACCCTTACTTGTAAACCTCTACATAAAACCATTCCTTGACTAATGTAACAGTGTGCTGTCACAGGAGAAACTAACACGTGAATAACGCCATCTTTAACAGGATACACGCCTCCCAAAATAGCTAATTGTTGCAAAGGTTTACCAATAATTTTGCTATCTATTAATATATTCCCGTTGATTTTCGTATCCGCGATTGCTTTGACGCTCGCTAATCCATGAATATCAGAGACACTCTCCGCTACAATTTTGACTGGGATTTCATCGCTTATATCGGTGCCTGCAAATGGCATCTCACTACTAACGTTCAAGAAAGTAAGGTTTTCGGCATTTTTGTACACAGCCACATGTGATTGTCCTGTGAACGATTGGCCTATGAGCATAGGTAATTCTAAATACTGGTCATCTACTACTTGGCACACGACATTAGCGGCTACCCCATCTACAGACAGATCTACAGTAACGCTACCAAGGGTTCGAACGATTTCGTTCCCGAAACCCTTTAATGCAGTCGGCTCATCGCTGCACGATAACCCTAAACTGGACGCCTGTGATTTCTTTATAAGTGATACCTCGCTCCCAAAATCTACAAACCCTTTTACTGGGACATTATCTACAAAAACCTCTTTGAAAAACTTTGAACTCGGGTTTTCACACGATATACGCATAGTTTTCTGGACATTATCACCCTTATTAATGCTATCTTTATTATTTAAATAACAGTTTTCTATTTTATGTCCCATTCTATTGCATTTGCCACATTTGGTAATGGGCTTTGGGCATTTTAAAAACGGATGCCCCTTTTCGTGACAATTATAGCAGAATATGTTATTATTATTCTGAGCTGGATTGACTTTATTGCCTACTCTATTCCCATTATTGACGTTATTTGAATTTGCATCGTTTCCTAATCTATATTTATTTTGGGATCTGTCAAAAGGTTGTGAAGATTCCTTGCTACTCATTAGAAATTGTAACAGTTGTTCTGGACGCTCACATCTCAATGTATTAGCACTAGACTTCATTGTCCTATCCGTTAGACCGTGTATAATGCATTCGACAGCGCGTTTCCCTTCAATGTTGCATTGGTTCAATAAAGCCAGTTTTTCATAAAAATACACTTCAATCGGTTCATTATAACGACACCTACGTTTAAGCATATCCTCCAGAGTTTGGCCATAATTTTGCTCACATGGAAATGCGGTCATTAACTTATTTTGCCATTCGGCCCAAGAAAATAAAATTGAAGGTAGGCTTTCATACCAAATTTTGGCCAAACCCTGGAGCTTTTGCAATGCAAAATGAACAGTTGTCTTGTCGTCCCAACCATAGACGGTAGCGCACTCATTCACTTTCTTTAACCAGGTGTCCATTCGTTGGTTTTTTGAAGATGGATCAAAGTCAGGTAGAATATTTTTATGATTGTTGGAAGAATTACTAGGAAGTGCAGCTGACGTCGACGGTTGAGACGGCAAATTTTTAAGAGAATTAAGAATGTTGACAACATCTTTTGTGGAAAAGGTAGGACTAGCGGGGCTCTTTGATCGCCTATCATGTTGCTCAACACGCCTTCTCTGTCTCTCAGGGCCATCATCAAAATCTGTTAGACTCCGCTCTCGTCGTCGAGAGGGTATTTCATGAGATTGAGGGTTCGAATAATTAATTTCTCGATGTTTACTCACAGTTCGTTGAATTCTGCTGCGCTCCCTGTACAGGTCGTCTTGCAGATCACGCAGACGTTCCCGCTCTCGTTCCACCTTGCGTTCCATTTCTTGTAGTCTGTCGTAGTCGCGTGGACTGCGACGCCGGCTTTGGCGATGCACGTTGTCATCGTCACGACGGATGCGGCTCCGGCTCTGGCGATGCACGGTGTCGTCGTCACNTTTCGGTAAATTTCTGACACTATTTATTAATTCATCATAAAATTGTTTTGGTGTAAGAATAGATGGATGAAGAGAGTGACTTTTAGTAAACATTATTGCATTAACCAAATCGTCAATTTTGAATGATAAAGTAAGTAAACTTGAGTATAGTTCATTACAGACTATATCCATTTTGGATTCTATTATTAACTTATTAGAAACTACAGATAGGTTCTTAACACTAGCTGACAAATTTTCAATAGCGTCATTCAAACGTGCTTCATTTACGGTAATGGCTGTTATGGTTTCATTGTAATGCAAAAGTGCCGTACTAGTCATTAAGATGTTGTCCTTAAGTAATGATGCAAGTTTTTTATCATTACGTTGAAGGGTTTGAATGGCGTTACCATATTTAATAGCGTCGTCTTCGTCCATTGTACCGATTATTTGTTTAAAAGCGGTTCCAATTCCGGCGAACCAGGCTGATCTTTTATCGCGATTTGAAATCAAATGTGAGATAGAACTATAATCTCGTTTTATGTCACTGAGTCTTGAAACCAGGGGTTGTAATAAACTATTACATTCAATATCTGAAATATAATCATTTTGTTGGCAAAGATACCTAGCAGTTCCCAGGATGGAATTTATATTGTCTATGTGAGGTTTTATATATGCTATGTCTACCGGAACCAAAACGTGAAGGTCATCACTGGTGATTCTAACTGTTCCANACGCCGGCTTTGGCGATGCACGTTGTCATCGTCACGACGGATGCGGCTCCGGCTCTGGCGATGCACGGTGTCGTCGTCACGACGGCTGCGGCCACGGCTCCGGCGATGCACGGTGTCGTCGTCACGACGGCTGCGGCCACGGCTCCGGCGATGCACGGTGTCGTCGTCACGACGGCTGCGGCCACGGCTCTGGCGATGCACGGTGTCATCGTCGCGGCTCCGGCTCCGCCTCGTCCTGCCGCTCGTCTGACGTACTCGCGACTCCGCGCGATCAGGTGTCTTCAAGCGGCGAGACTGGGACCTTTCCATTTTCCCTGAAACTCGGAAACAAAAACAACTATGTAAATGCTCAAAAAAAAATAAAAATACTATAAATAAAGATATTAATAATAGCAATATAAAAGGAACATAAAAAATTAAAATAAATTGATGATAGGTAAGCTTATATTGTATCAATATCGATAAACCAGTACTTAGATTGTTTTAAATAACATTTGCATTGTGATTTCATAGTTTAATTTAAATTTTACTTTAAATGACATGCAATCACCCATTTTGAAACCCTAAAAAAAAAACTTACGTACACATTTTCTACATCAAAAATTCCCGAAGTACCTTTGCTTATCATTTATTACCCATAATATAATCCCAAAATTATATTTAATTATTACGCTTGCTAAACCTTGTACGTAGCCACGTAATAAAGTGATTTTATAGCAATAAATTAATTACCATTAAAGTACTTTTTTAAATTAATTTAGGCAACTCCAAGTAAGACTATTTTGACTAAATATGAAAACAAAATACGTGCACTACATTTAAAACACGATTATAAACTATTCGTATAATTGAAAAAAAAGGAAAATAAAAATGGGACTTACCACTTCTGACTTGTAGTAAANCTGTTCAATATCTCTGACTTTAGATATCAGTAGGTATCATCAGGTCTTTAATAAAGGACCCTCACTAATGTCATCGTCATCATCACAGGACATCCACTGTGAGTCCCACATAACTCATCAAACAATGCATTTTCCTGCAACTCAATGCATTTTTCTGACCAAATTTTCGCGTATTTGTCCCTCAGTCATACGGCTGATGGCACGAATATCAGTAGATACGTATAAGTAGAAAACTTACTCTTTTTGTAACAATTTTATTTCAAGTAAGTACTTACTTTATTCCAAAATCATTATCTACCAGACCCTACTATACGCAATCTAGAAATGTCTGAAAGAAAGACAATTTTACACATAACATAGACAAATCTTTAAAAATGAATGTACACAATGATACTAAAAAGTTATCCACTCAGCATGGTGTTGTAGCATCTCAGTAGTATATATATCAGCATCTTAGTAGATAATGCCACGACGCTGGTCTTACGTGGTCTGAAAGCTCAGATCCGTCTAACCACTTATTACTCTAAGAAGACGCGCCTGCGCAAATAATTTTATCTCACACGCGTCCGAGCTTTTACCCGCAAACCTTTACGTCCGTTAAAATAAAAGATCACCTACATTTAGATCTACGTGACTCTGGTTATGTCAATTAAATAACGCTCCAAACACAACCTGAAACCAACCTTGATACGTTGAGTTAGAACTGATTTGGCTTTAGAAAGGAGGCTTTGAGAGATAAATCGTTTAGCTCGGTAAGTCAACAAAGCTACTGTACTACTTAATGTATTGTAAATAGACGTGTTTGCTAATACGCTACCGACGGTGCCGACGCCTTTGTCTCAAGTATACAGGGTGTAATTGAATTGACACAAAAGCTTTCTGTGGACGATTGGTTCTCAAATACGATGGACACAACATCAAAAGTTTATTAAAATCGTCATAGACAAAGTGACATTAGAGACCGTTTTTATTTCGAAATATTTTACCGAAGTCAAGTACCTTAACCACATACAATAAGCGCTGAGGCGAAGTGATTTCGGAGTTCAATCTGTCATATTACAAAAGTCACAGTCTGGGTGGTTATTCTTACATGAGAATATTTTTTTGCTATAAAACTCCAGCTTTTCCTTCCCATTTCCTTATGATCTAAACCAAGAACTCTACTCTTGTCATAATTTAAAAATAAAACCGTTCACAATGTGGCAATTCCCGTACAAACGCCCGTCTTTACCGGTCGACGTAAAGTCTGACATTCCACAATAACAGGCACGAGCCGCACCGCGTCCAGTTTTATTCCCCTCAAGTCTCAATAACAATTAAAATGTGCATCATAAAAGAGATGCTCTATGCCTAACGTGACCATACGTCCCGCTTTGGGCAAGACTGTCCCGCTTTCAGACTGTCTGTCCCGCTGTCCCCCGCAAGAGCAAAAACGTCCCGCTTTAGCTTTAAGAATGCATCTATCGTTTTTAAATGTAACAACAGCCATACTTATCGAGTATAGTTCCAAAATACTGAACTGTCCTATCCATGACATTGACAGCGGGGCGCCACCGTCAATACCGGATCGCTGGTTCCGATTTTTGCCATGTTGGAAGCCATAATAGTTAAACGATGGTAGCGCCCCCCCGTCATTGAGTTTAGTGGGACAGTTCAGCGTGGGTCATCTATACGTTATGTGTCTGCTAGGAAGTAACGCACCAGTCGAAAGAGTTTTTTCTCAAATGAACAAAATGTGGACGAGTGATAAAACCCAGTAGCAGTAATGAAAGCTATGTTATTACGAAAACAAATATAAATAAATCATGCAGTGAGTTCCATAGTTATGTTATCTAAAAACAAGATAAGATATTCTAAAACAAATTTGTTCCGCCGACAAATACAAAAATACGACTTAGAAGTCACCGCACTACTTAACTGTTTTGTGTTTAGTGCTTTGATTTGTGTTATTCAATCTTCTATGAACTTGTGAAACTCCCAAAACTTTGTTTTATTTTATTATTCCGCAGGTTTTTTTTTAGAACTATTCCTCAGTTGTCCCGCTCTGGCACAGAAAATAAATGGTCACGTTATCTATGCCGCTAAAGTGCCTCGGTCAGATGACGAACTCCCTGGAGCGAACGAACTCATTCTAACGCTGTTCCCGGCCAGAGTGCACAATAGGCACCTCTACAATGAACGTTTTTGCCACCATTTTACTGCCTAAACTACTTTGACTGCGAATCTTCTCGGTTTGAACGTTGCAAAAAGCTAGGCGACAAAGAATGTATTAGAGCAGAAGCGCCGGTCTATTCATTATATTTGTTCGTTCATTCGGAAGACGTCCAATGCTAGACAAATTCATATTCATAATTAAACAAAAAAAAAACAAGTTTCAAAGATTTCATTGGTTGACTAAAGCCCGTGACATGGTCATAGCGGATAAGTATACGATGATGACTGCGCGGTCATTAACGTATATCCTCTGAGCAAGTTTACCAACAATTTCTTCAGGTAATGTGGTTAAGAGCCAATGCATTTTAACAAAAAATCCGAAAAATATTAGACAGATCGTGTGGGTTCGATTCCCACCTGAGGCATTTTGATTTTATTTTTTCAAGTTATTTATCATTTAGCTCAAGATGCGACTCTTAACGCTAGAAATTTTAATAACTGTTTTTAAGACAGAATCCACATTCACGGTAAAATACCTGCTTATTTATTAAAACAAGACATCTAACTGCGCTAATCTGCCTACACTCAACCTGACAGCTCTGCACCTCATCTAATCTCCATCATGCGCACGCCCGTCGCGCGCGCCGTAAAACTTTACTTTACATACCCGTAATATTCCGCTGCTCGTAAACTCCGCTGCCCGCCTGTACTTATTATAAAACCGCTCGGGTCATGTCTGTACATTGCATATTTTTAAGATGTCCAATTTATAGCAGAGGCCAAAGGTCCGCTGTGAAAGGCATGAGAAAATCCAGGGCTAAGCTTAATCTGAATAGCTATTAAGGCATGAAATATACGCATCTGTTCTCGTATTTTAAGTGTTATACTGCAAAAGTTTTGCCTTGTGTATTGATAAGTTTCTAGGCTGCTGTAACGATGGGATCAGTAGCAAGTTCACGTAGTTTATGTAATAAATAGTCAGTAATTTAGCCTTGGTGGTCTAGTGTTTAGACTTTTAGAGTTGGGCTCACAAATCAGTTCTGGGTTTCTTATCTCACGAAGGAATCAAATCACAAATGAAATAAGGTGAAATTGAAATCGTTGAAATACTGTTTATATTGGCTAAGATACACTTAAAGGCGAGCGAAAAGAAATATAACACATCAACTTTTCATGTCCACAAAAGTTGGTATTTACATATCATAAAGTTTAACGCACGTATTCGCAAACATTACTATGAGGTCTCACAGTGCAAGTGGACGCACAGGGTAACACACGAATGTGTGTGCGGTTGACTTGCTGCTTCACTTAAGCAAGCATCGTTTGTGAATACGGGCGTTAATCTTTAAAAAACCATAAATCAAATTAGTAATACTACATGCAGCACTCACCATAGTCCAAACAAGGTCGCCGCGTCTTTTCATATCCACCCAGGACCCTGAAACGATAAATCGATTAGAATCGATTAGTTATTCACATGATCTTCATATTAATTAATGCAGTAACGATGCTCGATTGCGGATCAGTCGTTTAAATCCATTTATCAGACTAATTTATTCAGAATTAGAAATGCTTTTACCTTTGGAATGTGGGAAAGGGTAAGCAAATATCTCTCATACATTGACTATGTCTTGTCAGTTCCTTACTGGACTTCACTGTGCGCTTGTTTTAGAAGAAATATGGTGGGTCAGTCAGATTATTAGATTAATTAATTTGATTTATCGATTTTACTGTAATATTATAGAAATAAGGTTCTGGAATGGTGGCCGCGTACCGGAAAACGCAGCGTGGGACGTCCATCCACAAGTTGGACCGACGACATCGTAAAGGTAGCAGGGAAACGCTGGACGCAAGCCGCTACCAATCGATCAACATGGAAAGCATTGGGGGAGGCCTATGTTCAGCAGTGGACATCCTATGGCTGAAATGATGATGATGATGATTATTATAGAAAACTTTGTTCACTAGATTATGTTGCTAAAGGTATAAAGCCTATAAAGGTCATAGCACACTTATCAACCCGGAAAGAGATCAATACCGTATCGTCTTTCTTCGCGCGGCGAGGCGTTTACGGATAAGTGTGCGTTACAGTACGGAGTTTCATGCAAAGAATACTGACCGCCTCGAGTTGATACGTTTATTATCCGTATCCA